TATATATATATATATATATATATATATGCATATATTATTTCTTTCTGTTCTGTTTGTGTTTGCTTATTTCTTCTTCTGTCTCTGTTTATTTACATTTATTTATTCGTCTGTCTTTATATATTTATATATATCTATTTAAATATATACTTATTCTTCTTTGTATATTTATTTATATATATTTTTTTTATTTTATTTTTTTATTTTTTTATTTTTTTTTATCTTACCCTGACGCTTTGTCTCCCCGCCTTCTCTGCAGCTTCACAACCAAACAAGCAACTGCAACACAAACAAAAAAAATATTTATATATTTATACATTTATATATTTATATATTTATATATTTATATATTTATATATTAATATATTTATTTGCTTTTGTGTTCAGAGGCAGCAGCAGCAAGAGGCAATCGTTTGCTGCTGCAGCTGCTGCAGCACATGCTGGGCAGCAGCTTTGCTGCTGCGCTGCTGGAGACGCATGCAGTTGCTGCTCGGTTGCTTGCGTTGCATGCGCGCGAGGATTCTCCTGCTGCTCCTGCTGCTGCTGCTGCAGCAGCAGCAGCAGCAGCAGGTACTGCAACCAGCAGCAGCATCAGCAGCAGCAGCAGCAGCAGCAGCAAGGAGGAGGCGGCGCTGCTGCAGGATGCTGCTCTCTGTCTGCGGGGCTGGGTACTAGCGTTGGAGCCGACAGCTGCTGCTGCTGCTGCTGTTGATGCAGCAGCAGCAGCTGCTGCTGCTGCTGCTGCTGGGCGTTACACAGGCAGCGAGGCCTCGCAGCCCTTCGAGCTGTCGCTGCTGCATGCGGTGCTGGAGATACGTCCAGCAGCAGCAGCAGCAGCAGCAGAATCACTGCAGCAGCAGCAGCAGCAGCAGCAGCAGGAGCAGCAAAAGACTGCGTTTCGCGCTGCTTTCAAGCAGCAGCAAGCAACGCAACCACCCACAACAACAACAACAGCAGCAGCAGCAGCAGCAGCAGCAGCTGCTGCTGCTGCTGCTGCTGCTGCTGACTGCGGGTGTGATAGCTGCATTCTGCTGCCGAAGCTGCGGCTGCTGTCTCTAGGCGAAGCTCTCGTGCAGCTGCTGTTTCATATACTAACAAGGTACGAGCCCCCCCCAGAAGCAGTAGCAGCAGCAGCAGCAGCAGCAGATGGTGCTGGTACTCCTGCTGCTGCTGCTGCTGCTGCTGCTTCTGCTGCTGCTGCTTCTGCTGCTGCTGCTGCTAGTGCCGCCAAGAAGCAGCGATATCAACAGTCTCCTTTCAACAAATACAGCGACAGCAGTAGCAGCAGCAGCAGCAGCAGCAGCAGCAGCAGCAGCAGCAGCAGCAGCAAAGTATTGTACAGCAGCCCCTGGGAGCCCAGCGGGTGGGGGGATCGGGAGAGCAGCAGTTTTGTCTCCTCCCCATGTTCTCCATCGCATGCAGCAGCAGCAGCAGCAGCAGCAGACAGCAGCAGCAGCAGCAGCAGCAGCAGCAGCAGCAGCAGCGA